ATCTAATTTACTGCTTTTCTTGTTGTCATTTACAAATTCCATACATTTTACTTAGCACCACAAAATAATACTTTCAAAGGGACAGTACTGGGAGGTGGGTATGGGGTGGAACCAAGGAATGGTACTCAGAGGTGGTTAGAGGCAGAGACAAGGGGTAACTCAAGGGGGAGTTCCTGCACCTATTCTCTGAGAAAAAAGTTCTGATTACTCTTATTTCTCATTCCCCGAAAAGTGAAACTTTGATAAACACACAGACTCCTGTGGTTTAATTAAAAGAAAAAAAGTCAAATGTCCCTTAATAGAAATCCAAAATCAATTATGCTGTACAACCAGGGAAATCATTGTCAATCATAATGAGTTTTTTACACCCGCCACTAGCAAGGTATCCTCCTGGTACTTTTTAAATGCCTTTTTTCAACATTAAGTTTAATAATAGACTTAAATGGGTGGAAAAAAAATTTAGTTTTGTGGACCTCAGCTGGTTTTCCTGATCCTCCTGCAAGCCAGGCTTGGGTGTGTTTATTCATCCCTAGGTCTCCAGGCCTAATGAAATTCATAAAGCAATACTTTTCTTGTGAAAGAAAGTTAGAATGTTAGATTTTAATGAAAGTCAACATCCAGTCTATGCCTAGTGAAAGACATGATCCCACCCATATTTTGCATAATTTAGAATCCTATCCATGTCTAGTAAATATCAGAATCTAAGGAAAGTTAGGCTATCATAGTTATGTCTAATAAAATTCAGAATCTTTTCCATGTAATGTAAATGTGAGAAACCTTTTCAATAACTAGTGAAGCCAGGAGTCAATCCTTGTAAAATTTGGCTAGAACTCCTATTTAAAAAAAGCCAGAATATTTTTAGGGAAAGTCAGAATCCAATCCATTGCTATATAAATTCAAAATCAAAACCATGTCCAATGAAAGTCAAAATCAAAACCATGTCTAGTGAAGTCTGGCTAGAACTCGTATCTAGAAAAGTTAGAATCCATTTTGCGCTAGGTAAGTTTGAATATTGTTCATGTCTAGAGAAAGTCAAAATCCAATCCATTGCTATTTAAAATAAAATTCCCAACCATGTCTAGTGAAAGTCTAAATCCAGTCTATGTCTCATGAAACTCTGGCTAGAATTCCTATCTAGAAATGTTAGAATCCATTCCGTGCCCAATAAAAGTCAGAATATCTAGGGAAAGTCAGAAACCAATACATTTTTATTTAAATTTAAATTGAAAATCAAAACCATGTCTAGTAAAAGTCAGAACCCAGTCCATGTCTACTGAAATTTAAAATGTCTAATATCCAATCCAAGGAAGGTCATTCACACTGTAGCTAGAATCCACAGTGGAAACATACGTAAGGTTTCACTCTCCAATCCTTAATTCCAGATACTGAAATTTAATGAAGTGGATTCCCTTAATGGAGTATGATTGCATTACCTCACATCCATGGTGCCATCTCTATTTATAAACCGACATGGGACTGCTGCTTGTGCTTGCCTTTGCACGTGAACGTGGGGATGGGGGTGAATTTTTTTGTATTACTATTTTTTTGCTTTTTTTTACACTGTCTCTTTTAATTTTTTTTATCACTTTCATTGTTATCACAGGGAATGTAAATATCCCCTGTGAGAGCAATAGGCAGTGACAGGTACTCTTTTCTTAGAAATCTGGGGTCTATTAGACTCTAGATCTCTCATTTGCCCTTAAAGCATCTGATCACACCAAGATCAGTGTGATCAGATGGTTTCCCAAAATTCAAAATGGCGATGTTTATGTCCGGCAAAACGGAAATTATGAAATGCACTTAGCTTTCGATCTCTTAGACCGTAGAGATGATTGGAGGCATTCTGGTCTCTGATCAGCTCTATGGTCAGCCAGTGGAACTGCTGACTGAACAGCTAAGAAATATGTGGAAGGGGGAGGAAGGGGGAGACATCCCTTCCCGCTGTTTGTAAAAGCAATCCAGTGGCTAGTTAGCTGCTAGGATTATTTTTACATGAAAGTGGACTGCCAGGCATCTTCCTGGTATAACCACTCAACATCCAGAAATCTACCAGTACGTTGCTGGTCCTTCTTGAGCATATATGTAACAGCAGGAAACATGGGCATATGATGAATCGGGTCTGTGGAGCAATATGACCGCAGTTAATTCTTTTTTGGAATGCCCATTGTCATGGATCCGGGTGTGACCAGAAACGTGTGGACTGACACAAGGAAGTAACAGGCTTCAGGAATGATATAACAACGATATAATTTATTATTAGCCACCCAAATATATAAAACGCACAGCAAACACACCAACCTTCCACTAATATTAGTATGTGCAGGAACACAGGCGTAGTCAGGGCTGGAGAGGTGGAATGGTCAGGCCGGCCATATGGTTAACAACCGTCTGGTGGTACCTCTAGCAGTCCTCAGGACAGGATTCCCCAGGGCGCGGAGTCTAAGTCTCAGTCTGCTTATTCACCAGGGCCCCTGATGGTGGGTATGGACTTGGAGCAGACAAGAACCAGGTCGCGGCCCCTGAGTACATCTGCTCATGGTAGAGGGTACCGCCAGAGGTATATGCAGGTAGAGAGCCTGATGTGAAGAGGCAGAAGGTATGAGCCGGGATGGCTGGATCCATGCAGGATGGATGGATGGCAGAGTAATTAGAGTGGTCAGACGGGCCGGGTCGGTAACAGTGGGTCAGCGTGGTACTAGGCAGCAGGCAGAAGAGTAGTCGGGTCACTCGCCAGGGTCAGTAACAGGAGTTCAGATCAGATTAGGGATGTCAAGGAGAGGTAGTCAAACGAGCCAGGGATCAAGCAGGAGAAGTCAGCAGAGGTCAGGATCAGGCAGGGTCGGCAACAAATCAGATAGGCAGCACAGGAACACAGGATACAAGGTACAGGGGCTCATGGGAAACATACACCAAGGCACTGATCACAGGCCTGGTCCTGCTTAAATACACCTCCTGCAATCAGCCTCAGGTGATGGCCTGATTGCAGGAGTACGATTCTGGCTGCTGAGAGCACCCGCTGGCCAGCCTTGGTACTGCAGCCCCCAAGGCAGGTGAGTCCCACCACCATTGGCAAGTCCATTCCTGACACCCATGTTAAGGGTTAAGCCCTAAAAAGTTTTAAATTCGGAAACCATAATAGGTTTCCATGCGAATTGTCTGGCAAGAGCTGAATTTGAGTGGGCGGCGTTGTATTGTTGTGCATATAAATTGCTTTGACCCACAATCAATTTATACAAATCATCCATGAAAAAACAGTGGAGGGGCTAAACACTTGTGCTGTAAGCAAATGGGGCCGATCCTGCTGGGGACACTATACAAAGGAGGCACTAGTAAAGTTCTGTTCATGATTAATATATTGATCCGTACAAAGACTATACTAGTAATGGCGGTGACCTATAGCGTGAGTGTGATAGTATGCGGGCAATCTAATGCTAGCTGGCCCTGGCTGGGAGAGGAGATTACAGACCCTGAAGCTATCTGATGTTGATAGTGGCAGTAATACAGTGGTCAGTGAAAACTTCTATATACTGACACTGTACTAATGGCACTGGCTGGGTGACGGGGCGATCAAAGCTGTTAATACGGGTGATAAATTGGTTAAATGTCCTAATCTAATGTGTGTGTACAATGTAGTGCTTTTACTCAGTGCCATGTTCTCTTTTCTCTCCCTGGACCGGCATAGGGGGCAGTGGGAGGTACAGACGTGTTCACACCCCGAATAGGAAGCAACCTAAGAGTACATCACTTTGCCCAGATCTGCCGTTCACCCACACATTGCGGATGGGCAGATGGCAAGTAGTTAAAACATTGTTTTTAAAGAAATCTCTTAAAATTTTTATTTTTTTAACTATTTTTTAAAAGTACTTTCATCACAGTGGTATAACATACCATAGTAACATTGTATTACTCTGGAGTGGTGATTAGGGATTTCCTTTTTTTTTTTTTACACTCTGCATTGCAGGAGCAATAAAGATCATTGCTCCTGCAATGCAATATTTGCTTTGAACTGTCATGAATGAGTTTAGTTCATAACAGTTCAAAATACAGTCATCTGTGATTGGATCCAGCTGATCATATGGTACAGGGTGCTGTGATTGGCCCCATGTACCATGTGAGAGTTGTGGGCCAATCACAGCTCTCCAGGAACAGAAGCAATCAGATTGATTCACAATAGTTTTGTTGTCATTGTAATCATGTGATCACATAGCGATCACATGATCACTGGGTCCAGATTACCAGGATCTGCATTCCCCAGGGACACAGCAGATGTTGGGGGGAGGGAGGGTTGCACGCCTGCTTAGGTTTGCAGCGCTCCCCTGTGTTGGTACAGCATCAGTGACATATGTGTATATTGCTGGTCCTGTGGCTGCTTGTCTGTACAGCGTACATTGTGGGCAGGTGGATGGAAAGTGGTTTATGTGAAAGAATAACTAGGGGTACTATATGCCTCTTATTCACTCACTTTTTGGGGGGGGGGGGGGGGCGCTGGATACCTAAGGGCATTCTTATTCTAAAGGGGGCTTGTAGCTACATATAGGCCCCCCCATGGGCCTCTACATCCCTTTTGACGGACAGGATGTTGGATGAGGCAGTTGTTATCAACATAGGAAGAAGGAGTCTTGAAAGAGGGAAGAGGCTGGACTGCCTCCTTGAAAGGTACCCTTCCAATGTTCAGGCATGCCATCTTGCCACCAAGTCAATATTGCTCCAGCATCACTGGAATGTAAATACAGTCCTGCGGATATCAGGTGACATCATTGAAAAAATATCTACTGGCCAGTCAAACCAAATGCTCAAGTGAGGATTTGGTAAAGATTTTCTGAGAGACCCTGTGTTTTTTTTACATATAGTTCCCCCTTAAAATGTATAAAAAATGAATCAAGAATAATGTTTCTAGTGTAAATTCTGACGTCTTTGGCATTCTTGTTGTAGGATGTAGTACAGAAAAAGTGATAGCTTATAAACAAATATTAACATTTGAACATACGCTATATTGCCAAAAGTATTGTGACACCCCTCCAAATCATTGGATTCAGGTATTCCAATCACCTCCATGGCCACAGGTATATAAAATCATCACCTAGGCATGCAGACTGTTTCTACATACAACAGACTGAGTTTGGCATAGAGGATGGGATGTAAACCCTATGAATAAGTTTGAGTTGAGACTCCATCCATTTTTCACTGGTGATCAGGTGGGAAACTCTGTTATACCCACTCAACAATTTGTCGGTAAGAGTCCAATTGGTTGCTGAGGATGAGTTGAAAGATTTTGTGAATTGCATGTTGAAAGGCCAATAGATGTCTGAGATGAAATACATTATATTGCCAAAAGTATTGGGACATCACTTTAAATCATTGAATTCAGGTGTTCCAAACACCTCCATGGCCACAGGTGTGTAAAATCAAGCACCTATGCATGCACACTGCTTCTACAAATATTTGTGAAAGAATGGGTTGCTCTCAGGAGCTCAGTGACTCAAAGCGTGGTACCGTGATAGGTTGCCACCTGTGCAATAAGTCCATTCATGACATTTCCTGGCCACTAAATATTCCACGGTCAACTGTTAGTGGGATTATAACAAAGTGGAAGCAACTGGGAACAACAGCAACTCAGCCACCAAGTGGTAGGCCACGTAAGATGACTGAGCGGGGTCAGCTCATGCTAAGGCACACAGTGTGCAGAAGTCGCCAACTGTCTGCAGAGTCAATAGCTAAAGACCTCCAAACTTGGTGTGGCCTTCAGATTAGCACAACAACAGTGTGTAGAGAGCTTCATGGAATGGGTTTCCATGGCCAGGCAGCTGCATCCAAGCCTTACATCACCAAGTTCAATGCAAAACATTGGATGCAGTGGTGTAAAGCACGCCACCACTGGACTCTAGAGCAGTGGAGACGTGTTCTCTGGAGTGATGAATCACACTTCTCTGTCTGGCAATCTGAAGGTGGTGTCTGGGTTTGGCAGTTGCCAGAGAATTGTACTTGCCTGACTGCATTGTGCCAAGTGTAAAGTTAGGTGGAGGGGGGATTGTGGTGTGGGACATTTTTTCAGGGGTTGGGCTTAGCCCCTTAGTTGCAGTGAAGGGAACTCTTAAGGCATCAGCATATCAAGACATTTTGGACAATTTCATGATCCTAACTTTGGGGGAACAGTTTGGAGATGGCCCTTCATGTTTCAATATGACTGCGCACCAGTGCACAAACCAAGTTCCATAAAGACATGGATGTGTGAGTCTGGGGTGGAGGAACTTGACTGGCCTGCACAGAGTCCTGGTCTCAACCCCATAGAACACCTTTGGGATGAATTAGAGAGGAGACTGCGAGCCAGGCCTTCTTGTCCGACATCAGTGCCTGACCCCACAAATGTGCTTCTGCAAGAATGGTCAAACATTCCTATAGACACACTCCTAAACCTTGTGGACAGCTTTCCCAGAAGAGTTGAAGCTGTTATAGCTGCAAAGGGTGGGCCAACTCAATATTGAACCCTACGGACTAAAACTGGGAGGCCATTAAAGTCCATGTAAGTGTAAAGGCAGGTGGCCCAATACTTTTGGCCAAATAATTTACGTATTTCATTGGTGTATTTAACGAATTGTCTGGATTTCAGCTTTAATGACATTAATATGAAAAACTTGCTCTGAAAACCTGTTAAAAGTTTTGTTCCCATCTTTTACAACTGAGGGCAATAAAGGGTTGTGTTGTGTGGGAGGAGCTGGGACTTTTCATAAACCCAAATTTCTTACTGTACACATGAATTAATTTCATAATTTTTCGACTTAAAGGAAGAAGTTGAAAGAGTGGTTCCAGACAGCGATATTGCTAAGATACCACCAATGATCACATCACCATCTCTAGTATGGTATCTGGGTATATTGTGGATCATCTCCAAATGACATGCTGGATTCTTCACAACATTTTCATCCTTTTTCATGGCCAGTAAAATATACTTTAACACATCTTTCTTCAACATTTGTATCTGGAAATCGGGAGAAAAATGGCTGCAGAAATGTTAAAAATTCAAGAGAAAAAAAACTGCCAAGGTAATTTTTCAGAACTATAAACCAATAAATTCACCTGGCTATCTAAATAGATCTGTGGGAATCACAGCTGATAATCAACACAAGAGATGTGCGGCAATCTCTCCACGCACAGAACCCACTAAGCCCTAAAACATAACTTTTATTCATACACAGCTACAAATAACATATGTTAGGGGTATGCAAAATGCGTTTTCCAGAAAGTGAGCACCCTAACCCCAAAAGTGTTGGAGTGCTCACTTTCTGATGTCTGGGGACACAGGGCACAATTGAAACATGGTCTGGTATGGGAGGTAGACATGTACAGTTTGTTTTGTTCTGAATTTAAAATCAAAAAATTTTCTGTTGTTTGGATGCATCCGAATTACAATAGTAACGAAATTAAAGGAATCTGGATTTTGAAAACAAATTTTAATTTGAAAATGAGAATAAAATAAAATAGAATAGAAAAGAATAGGACAGAATAGAAAATTAAAAAAAAAAATACAATACAAAAGAATAGAGGGAAAAAAGAACATAATAGAAAATAAAAGAATAGAACAAAATACAAAGGAAAAGAATAGAATAGAAAAGAATAGAGAGTAAACCAGAAAACCAAATAGGATAGAAAATAAAGGAATAGAAAATAATCAATTAGAATAGAAAAAAATTGCCTAGAATAGAAAATCAAAGAATCGAATAGAAAATCAAAGAATAGAATACAAAGGAATAGAATCAATTAAAGTAGACTAGAAAAGATTACAACAGAATAGAAAAGATTACCATAGAATAGAAAATCAAAGAATAAAATAGAAAAGAAAAGAATAGAAAAGATTAGAACAGAAAATCAAAGAATCGACTAGAAAAGAATAGAATAGAAAAAGAATAGAATAGGATAAAATATAATATAATGGTCTTCTGAAAGTAAACTATTGAATATAATGCATTAGAATGGAATATAAAATAGAACAGAAAAGAATACTGTAGAATAGAAAAGAATAGAGTAAAACAGAACAAAATAGAAAATAAAGGAATAGTGTCCATTAGAATAGAAAAGACTAGAGTAGAATAGAAAAAAATAGACTAGAAAATCAAAGAATAGAATGGAAAAAATAAACTCGAAAAACAATAGAATAGAATAAAAGAGAAAGAATATAACTGTCTTCTGAAATTCAAATTTGGAATAGAATGAATTCAAATTTGAATAGAATAAATTAAAATAGAATATAAAATAATAGAATAGAAAAGAATAGAACAGAAAATAATAGAATACTTTAAAAACTAAAAATTGTGAGCTGCACTATGGTGACATGGGTAGTGATCAACAAAAAAAAGGAAATACACCTTGCCACAAGAACTATTTAATGAACATGCAAATAAAAGTGGACACCTTTTAGCTCAAGCTCTCAGCTCCAAGAAGGCCAAGACAAGGGTCCACCATCTTCAATCTTTAAAGGCAAATTACTAGAAAACAGCAAAGCTACTACTCGAGAATTCAAAACATTTTATTCCGCCTTATATAAACTCCACCCTACAGAGACACCACTTCTTTCTCCCTCCTCCAGATCAACTATCCTGAAAGAGTTCTTTGATAAACACTGTCCTAACTCCATCACTGAAAAACTAGATCGCCCTGTATCGCTCAAACAATGGGATCTTGCGCTCCACCAGCTCAAGCCTGGTAAAAGCCCTGGACCCGATGGTCTCACACAACTTAATAGAAGACATTTTCAGACATCCTCTCTTCTCCCTTTCTGAGTGCATTTAACTCTATCTCACCTTCTGTCCTTCTCTCTTCTGAGATGCTGACTGCCCACATAGCTGCTATACCCAAATTAGGCAAGGACACTACCCAAGCTGCACATTACCGGCCAATCTCACTCCTCAATGTGGACATCAAGATTTTTTGCCAAAATTATAGCTTCCCATCTACTACCTCTCCTCCTATCTCTTATTGCGATCAACCACGTGGGCTTCATTCCCGGACAGGAAGCTAGAGACAATACTATCAAAGCCATCAATATACACCACCTTCTGGCTTCCTCAAACCAAAAGGGTTTCTTCCTTTCATTGGATGCAGAGAAAGCTGCATCCAATGACCAACTGTCAGAAATAGCCTATGAGGTTGAAACCGCTGTATGGAGTGAATGTCACAGAACTGTCAGAAATAGGCTATTTCTGACAGTTCTGTGACATTCATCCATACAGCGGTTGAAACATTGTATCTATTTGTTTCCATAAATGGAAACAAATAGATACAATGTTTCAACCGCTGTATGGAGGGAATGTCACAGAACTGTCAGAAATAGCGGAGCTCTGCAGATACACTTAGCGGAGCTCTGCAGATAGATACAGCGGTTAAACATAGGCTATGTTTCAACCGCTGTATGGAGTGAATGTCAGAGAACTGTCAGAAATAGCCTATTTCTGACAGTTCTCTGACATTCACTCCATACAGCGGTTGAAAACATAGCCTATGTTTCAACCGCTGTATCTATCTGCAGAGCTCCGCTAAGTGTATCTGCAGTATGGAGAATGTCACAGAACTGTCAGAAATAGCGGAGCTCTGCAGATACACTTAGCGGAGCTCTGCAGATACACTTTTTGCCGGCTTGGAATTCTTCTTATTTTTTTCATCCATCCTTCTTCTTCTTCTTCTTCCTTCTTCTTCTTCTCATCCTTCTCCTTCTTCTCATCCTTCTCCTTCTTCTCATCCTTCTTCTTCTTCTCATCTTCTCCTTCTTCTCATCCTTCTTCTTCTCATCCTTCTCCTTCTTCTCATCCTTCTTCTCATCCTTCTCCTTCTTCTCATCCTTCTTCTCATCCTTCTCCTTCTTCTCATCTTCTCCTTTTCTCATCCTTCTCCTTCTCTTCTTCTCATCCTTCTCTTCTTCTCATCCTTCTCCTTCTCCTTCTTCTCATCCTTCTCCTTCTCCTTCTCATCCTTCTCCTCCTTCTCCTTCTTCTCCTTCTCCTTCTCATCCTTCTCCTTCTTCTCATCCTTCTTCTCATCCTTCTCCTTCTTCTCATCCTTCTTCTCATCCTTCTCCTTCTTCTCATCCTTCTCCTTCTTCTCATCCTTCTTCTCATCCTTCTTCCTTCTTTCTCATCTTCATCTCATCCTCATCCTTCTTCTTCATCCTTCTTCTCATCCTTCATCCTTCTTCTCTCATCCTTCTCCTTCCTTCTCATCCTTCTCCTTCTTCTCATCCTTCTCCTTCTCCTTCTTCTCATCCTTCTCCTTCTTCTCATCCTTCTCCTTCTTCTCATCTTTCTCCTTTCCTTCTTCTCATCCTTCTCCTTCTCCTTCTTCTCTCTTCTCCTTCTCCTTCTTCTCATCCTTCTTCTCATCCTTCTCCTTCTTCTCATCCTTCTCTCTCATCCTTCTCCTTCTTCTCATCCTTCTTCTCATCCTTCTCATCCTTCTCATCCTTCTTCTCATCCTTCTCCTTCTTCTCATCTTCTTCTTCTCATCCTTCTCCTTCTTCTCATCTTCTTCTCATCTTCTGCTTCTCATCCTTCTTCTTTCTCATCCTTCTCCTTCTTCTCATCCATCCTTCTCCTTCTTCTCATCCTTCTCCTTCTTCTCATCCTTCTCCTTCTTCTCATCCTTCTCCTTCTCCTTCTTCTCATCCTTCTCCTTCTCCTTCTTCTCATCCTTCTCTCCTTCTCCTTCTTCTCCTTCTTCTTCTCCTTCTCCTTCTCCTTCTTCTCATCCTTCTCCTACTTGTCATCCTTCTCCTTCTCTCTTCTTCTCATCCTTCTCCTTCTTCTCATCCTTCTTCTCATCCTTCTCCTT